ACTGGTCCTAGCACAGTGGACGACGATGGAAGATCAGGGCCGGCGAGTTCCACGCGACATCGAGACATCTCGTGTCTTCTAAATTTAGACGCATCCCTTCGTCTCCTCTATTTTTCCTTGATTCTATGTAATCCCTATCTGTCAACGCCGCAACAGGCAAGCATTACGCGCGAGTACGAAGCTGCCAGGGCTCACGGACGCGCCGCCTATAGTCGAGCTGCTCGTTGCACAGGGTTTCCGCGTGTCCCTCGCCCAGCCCGAACACCAGGAACGATACGAAACGACAGCGATTCGATAGGATAATTGTGATTAAACGTAATTATCGGCGCACGAACAGCCCATTACAATTCACTTTGGCGCTGCCCGGGGTTCGCGGGACCGTGGAAGAAAGGAACGTCGGCCGAAGATGCGGGCGAAAATAGGCGCGCCCCGGATTATCGAGTTAAAGACGAGACGCACGCGAGTGTTACGCGTTGCCGGCGATAGAAGGAATCACTTTGCACTGTAATTTCGATGATTGTAGATAAGACACGCGATTCGCGGTTTTTCGAAAACGAACGAGAGGAGTCCCGGACGACGGCGCCGCATGCTATTAAGCTCGCGAGCGCGATGCACGCGGCCGATCCTCCTCTCGTTTCTTCGCTCCTCCGGCCTCGGCTCCCCCGGGGCTTCGGCTCGATTCTCCTTACCGTGCCACGGAGGACAAACAATGCCAGGGCGATCGACCGCCGCCTACCGTCCCAGTTTTAATTGATATTTCGTCGGCGGCGGGGCCCATTGTTTCCTCCGTTTCCATTATCGACACCTTTGTGCTCCGCCGATACGGGCCAAACGTCATTTTCGCCGCCGACACCGTACCTGCCCCCCTCGCGCCCCGTCGCCGGCCATCTTATTTGTCGAGTCATTACGAAAAGAGAGATATGTATGATGTGTATACGTATACCTGCCGAGATCCACCGTCCGCCGCATCATTGCAGCGAACTACCGACGTCGAACAAAAGGAGAATACGGGGTGTACTGTCTTGCTCCGATGGGAACCCGGGATACGTGGAAAAGGGGAGGATTCTTTGGTTGCTATCGTTCTCTCGAGAAGCGACTCGGAGTCCGAGATTGAATTGTGGGAAATCGAGGAGGTCGATTAAATGGAACGCGTTGAACCTTCATTAAAGATTAATTCTGTATTCGGGAATTGCCAGTTAACCCTCTGTTAACACTTTGCCACGTAAACACTCGTCAAAACTCCCATGCACTCGAAACAGTTTCTCTATTAACCAGAAACTGAGAAATCAACATTCTTCTTAATAATTGCTCCATTATCTTCCTTATACCTTATATATCCAATAAAATTCGGTGCGTTCGATACGTCATGAAAGAAATTAATTTCCACGTTTCTGTATAATGTCATCCGAATTGGTGACGTGGCAGTCAAACTATTAAATAAAGATTTATCGAACATTTCCTAATATTCATCAGAACAAATCGAATTCCTCGTTCGCCAGTTTGTTCCTAATTTTCTACAAATTCGAATCGCGTCTACTTATGAAGCACACTTCTAACGACAAGCGTCAATTGTCCACGTAGTACGATGCAAATAAGTCAAGGGTCACTACGAAGCAACCTAAAACCTCGAATACGCTCCGCAGGATCATCCCCTATCTAATAATCCCGATGATCTCGCGACGCAACCGGTCGCCGTCCATTTTCCCCGGTGGATTCCCAGAACCCGGCATCTGCATCGTACCCAATTCCCAGAAACCACCGGGCAATTTAGCGTCGATTGTCCAGCGACGATACTCGGCGCTCGTCCCGTCGATTGGAAAGTGCAACGAGGGTTTAGAAGTCGCCGCGGCGCGGCTGATCGCAGCGTTACGATTAAACCGGCGCACAGATGCAGCTTCGGCTTCGCCGGAGTTGTTCCGCGAGGAGAGAGGCAAAGAAAGAAAAAAAAGGAACCCCGTCCCGGAAAATCAGGAAGACGCGGAACTCGAAGGGGGAGCGACGGTGATTAGCGGCCGAGTAAATACGCGGGACGCGCGATAACGCGGCCCAGTCGCGGGAGGTTAAGTCCCGCGATACTGCCGATAACCCTATCTGGCGGAGCACGGTAAATCATAAGCTTGGCTCGTGGTTAGCGGGCCCTCGGTATTTACCGTCCACGGTCGCCGTGAAAAAATCCCGCCGAACACACCGTGGCCTCTGCTCGCCAGCGAATAACATTTTTTAATCGGGGACACGCCGCGTGGCTCGCTCGCTCGCTCGCTTACTCGCTAGCTCGTTCGCTTCGTTCCTCCTTTCCCACGGGTAATTCCGACTCTTCAAAACGGCCGGTCGTCTCTCTCGCTCCTCTCCTTCCGCGGCAAGGCTTCCTCTCTCTCTCTCGCTCGTTCCCTTTCGCGTTTCACTCGATTTTCCCCGTTTAATCTACCCCGTAACGGCACTCGTAATTGGCAGGGGGTGCGTTAAAATCTCATAGGGAAGCGCGCCGCTTTCTTCTTTTCCTCGTTTTTCGTTACAGTTTTTTGCGCGTGTCACTTCCGTTGACCTTGGCTCTCTGGGTCGGAGTTCGACGCGGCTCGCGAACGAGGGTTGAGGGAGTGCACGGGAAACTTCACTCGGGTTCTCATTGTGCAGGATGCGATTGATTTCTCTGGTGTGATAGCTGTTTAATCTAGTTGTTATTCTTTCAATATGGCGACACGGTGCATCTAGAAACAATTCTGTTTTCTCGATGGTTTCTTGTATCGTTACATTGTTGTCGCAACGTTACAATGTATACTTCAATGATAAAAGAAATCAGAAATTGCAGGAGTTAATCGAGTGAACGGTAGTAACTTATTTAGGTATCACCAGTAACGGAATTCATTTGCGAGCAATACACTCTGAAAACAACCTCTTGATTCATTCGACTCAAGAATTCAATCCACCCTTAAATCCCCGATGAAGCGCAAACGCCTGCTACAGAAAGCGTCCCGCGAAGTCCCGTCGGTTGTCTCCGACGCGAGTAGTCCGCGTAAATCAGCGCGCCACGGAGCTCGTCAAAGTAACCGAGAGTAAGCAAAGTTTTTGAAGCTAGCCCGAGGCGCGGCCGTCCGTTGGACGGCTCTCGGCCACCTTCCATCTGGGAGCCACCGACGACAAACCGAGTCGCCATTAGTCACGTGTACGAAGGAGGGAGCCGGGGGTAACTCGGCAATTACCGCGAGCATTAATCTACCCGGTGTGCTGATTATTAAGGCGACGACAATAAGAGTAAAGCCGAATGAAACCGACGGCGGCTGCGGCAGCGGCAGCGGCGGCCGAAGGAGCGGACCGTATCGCCGCGGGAACTGGCGAGTTAATTGTTGCACTCTATATGCTAAACGCGGCGTGTGCGATATCGCGAGCGAGTTATGGGACGGTCGCCGCCTCCGTCATGCGAGCGAACCGTCGAATCGCTTATCTCGCCGCTGCTCGCGGCCCGCTCCGGCCCGGCCTCAGCGGGTCCCGAATTAATTAATCCGCCGAATTTCGTTTTTCGCCGGGGCCCGCGCCGCGGACGGAAGCGGCGGACGGACGTCGAGCACGCCCCGCGCGGAATTAAGATCGCGGACGTCCCTCGAGGTAGCCGAGAGCCAGCTTCTCGCTTCGTGCGCGCCCGTAATTTCGCTGCGAGACTTTCTCCGCTCTGCCTTATCGTTCAACGTCGTCGTCCAAGTCTCGGCGCGCAGAGCTTGTCACGGCTGGACCCGCGGTAACTTCGGTACCGAGGACTTCCGTTTGGTAGTAAGCTTTCCGACTGTTTTCCAGGGAACGTAGGAACTGAGAAATTTTCATTTGTGTTTTACGAGTTGTGGGATAGTCTTCGCGAAGGGAAAACCCTGGTCGTCTTAACACTTTACCGGCTGTCACGTACACGTGACTTCTTTTCATCAGCTGTTATGGGCCGCTGTCACGTACGCGTGATTATTATTTCGATGATTGTACAGGAATACATATCGATGCTATTTTTAGAGAAACAATTGCTTCTGTTCTCCCTTCCCAATTTACCAGATCTTTTGTTAGTCTTTTAAGCAGATGCTTCTTCTGTTTGAAACTTTTGCTGCCTTCCTGCGTCATACTCGCCAACCTAACGGCGATGCGATAAATCTGCGGCCGGCAAAGTGTTAAGGGAAAGTCCCAGTGTCTCGAAGCAACGAACACGCTGACAAGGAAGTCCTCGAGCTGAGCCTTAGGGCCTTCTGCAGCCGAACGAGCATTGCATTGAAGAGAGTGCCATTCTAACGAGGCTTCGCCATTTTATTTGACAAAATCCTGTCTTGTAGAATGACGCTAGTTCCTTTCCAGCTTTGAACCTTCTGTTGCTTCCGTTCGAAAGAATCAAGAGCTTAATTCCTCTGAATCTACAGATGCTTCGAACAAAAAATTCTCACCGACTTAAACTGTAACGATATCAGAAGGACCTAATGTCGCTCGAGAATCGTCCGTCCCCCGGCCTCTTGCGAACGGATGCGACGATCGTCCATCCGCCCGTCTGCGGATGCTCGAGTGTCAGCAGGCGCGGAAACCGAATTCCATTCGGCGTCACTCAATATTCCATCGAAAAGGAGCACATCGTGCGCCGTAGTTCTTTTGTTTCACGATGCGGGCGTCGCAGGTGGCAGCCGGTTGCGCAACAAAGCGACGCGCCCGGGGCAATCACGCATCGGGAACAGTGTGTCCCGTGAATCGTTACGCCATAAGGGTAGTATCGTGTGTCGGCTCATTGTGCGATCGATAAATCATCCGGGGACAAAATCGGACGCCGATTTTCCCGGCGAGATATACGGGAGGAACCGTGGTACACGTGGCCGATCGCGTTCGCCGATTAACCGGTTGATTATACGCCTTGCGAAACGAATAAATGCTTATTGCGCCGGGTCCTTCGGGAGCGAGTTACACGGCGCGGCCGTGTAATTAAAGTAATTACCAGCGGTTCGAATGTTTATATTACTACCGTTATTAATAATTTCCGAGCGACGCACCTCGACGAGTTCGCACCTGCCGCGGGAACTCGATCTCTCGATCCCCCGGCCGTGATTCTTGCCTGCATTCTCTTCTGGACCGTCTGCTCCCCCCATCCGCCCGTCTGAAAGAACACGTGAATGCCGTTGTTATTCTGTATTCGTGGAAAAGGAATTTTGGTCATTTTCGGGATCTTTAATTGTGGCTGCAACCCTTACTCGCGAGAAGTACCTATGCTATCTACGCTGGAATTTTGTAGAATCATTTACTATATTAACCCCTTGCATTCGAGAGGTGCCTGTCACTCATCACTTGATTTCATACAGTAAAACTATAAAATTTGATACTTAATAGTAAACTTCGTATAATGCACCAATTTGAGGAATATTCAAACAGAATGTGTCCCTCAATTTAAGTGTGATTTCTCGTCGAGTTTCACAAAATATCGTCTCTATCTCATCAGAAGACGTTAAGATGTTTCTAATGAAAAACTTCCTAGTGCAAAGGGATAATTATTTTCCTTTTTCACGGTTATCCCTACATAGAGTTACCATTATTCTTTTCTTAATAATCAAAGATCTCCAATGTTCAACATATCTGCAATGTTTTCAGCATAATATTCCGAATTTAAACTCAGCAATGTCATCCAACATCTAAGCTCTTAATAACTAACAATAACTGCCACATACGACGTATATAAATAACAATCATAGACAAATAGTATTTACGATTATATAGTGTTTATAGAATAGTTGCAAGGGAAGCAGGTCAATCGAGCAAATCGCCAGCTAATAACTAAAAAAAAGCTGCCACACACGAGGTACATAAATAATAGAATTATAGACAAATAGTATTTACGGTTATATAGTGTGTATAGAGTCGTAGCGAGTATCGGGAGCAGGACAATCGAGCAAATCCCCCGGCGGAACGTGCTCCGGCGAGGAGCGGGGGTGGATCGGCGCGAAGCGTACGACAGTTTAAGCGGAAACGCAAACGCGTGCTGGAGTAGCACAGCGGGTATCGCGTGTAACGCGATATCGGCCGAGTCGGAGAGATCCTCTTTAGCGGACTAAAGCCACGAACGCGAGGAGAACGACGACGGCGGCGGCAGCGGCGGATCGGGAAACGCGAAATCGCGGTGGCACGCACCAACGTAACCCAATAGCGCGCGCGTGCGTGCCGGCGCCGCTCGAATTAACCGCTTTTAGATCGGTTTACGGTAAACATCGCGCCCCGAGTAATCGGCTCCGGCCCGCAGCCGCGCCGGGACACGACCGAGAAAAGAAACCGGCCCCCGCAGGTTTCTCGACTTCTTCATTTCCCGCTTGTCCGATTTTTCTGCTCGATCCACCGATTAACGCTTCGGCTACGATAGAATGTTGCGTCAATGCGTGTTTCTGAGACAGCGTATTGAAACCGTTGGAACATTGAATTGAACTGAGTTAAAGCGATCTGAAATGATCACATTTATATGATGTATTATTGATTGAGGATGTAATTGTTGGATTAGAATGCACTGACGTTAGATCTAAGCGAGCTTTGGTGTAATTAACGTGGATGAACCAAAGTTTTAGAGGGTCAGTAGTCAAGAGGTTAAGAGATTGACTCTCGTTTACTTTGATCGGATTGTGCTTTCTTTCTTTGAAATCGGCGTTGATCTATGATCTATTTGTCTAGTTGTCTATACAACTATCGAATAAGTTCGGTGATGGAAGATCGAAGCGAGTGGTAGTAACTTGTTAACCTATTCGAGATGAATTACGCATCAGCGTAGAGTACCTAGTTAAAGAGACGAATGATCGTGGACTTCTATTTTTATTTCTACGATTTATTTGATCTTATTCCGCCTCCGTGGAATTTTTTCGAAGAAACAGGAGTTCTATGTTTCTTGAGAGTCGGCATTTTGATAGAATCAGCGTACTCGGATGGTTCAAGAATTCAAGCAGCAATTGTTTATTCATTCCTTCTGCTCGTTACGATTACGATACGAACACGCCGTCCAATCTTGGTTTAGCAACACAGGAGAACAGGAAAATAACGTTTGATATTGCGTCCGCAAATGGGATCGTCCCGCAAATGAATAAGTAAATAGCCGGCGAGCGGTGTAATACGGTGGCGGCCATGTTGCTCGCACCGCGCGAGTCCGGAGAAGAATTCGCGACGAGTCGCTTCGGGCGAACGGAATAGCTTTCAGAATCTGCATTCCCTAACGACCGGAAGACGAATATTAACAGCTCTGCGTCTGGGTTTCGCAGAAATTTCCATCGCAAATCGCAGCAATTCCTGCAATCCAATTTATCAAAATGAAAGACACGTTCCCGAAACCAATCCAATCGACATCACCGACGCTCCACACGAGTCCGGCAGAACCCGAAGGTAAACTATCCTCGAATCGCAGCTGGTATCGGCCGAGCGCAAGAAACAGGCTCGTCCTCGTTACAAACTTAATCAACGCGTCCACCGCTGTAATCATCGCGACGAGCAACAAACGCGAGCCTCCCGCGCCAGACGAAGAGCAACGCGCGCGTTGTATCGAGCGAAGAAGAGAGACGAGCGTACAGAAAAGCGGCGAGGCGCGGCGGCTGCCGGCCGACAGAGACAACGAGCTCGCCTCGAAAGCCCGCGGAAAGAGGAGCTGCCGGCAGGGGGACAGCGGGAACGCCGATAGAGGATGACGAGGCAACGATAATTGCGATCGGAGCCGATCGGCGAAATCCTAATATAACGCGGAAATGCATCGAATATAAGCGGCCGCGCGGCTAGGTAAGCCGTAAGCCGCCGGTCCTGACGGAGAACGACGTACTAGAAGGGAGGCGAAGCAGATCAAGAGAGCGGCCGCCGTTGGACAGAGGGAGAAAGGCGAACGGCCGCCGATGGGGGGGC